AAAATAGTTGCAACAACAACAACAATAACAACACAAACTCAGGCTATTACTTTATGGAGAACCATAACGACAACAATAAGGGTAGCTTTTCATCTATTAGGGCTAAGATCATGGCTCATCCTCACTACCATCGCCTCTTGGCTACCTATGTCAATTGTCAAAAGGTAATAAACTAACCTTACCCCCCTCCCCCAAAAAAAATAAAATAAAATACCCAGATGCCTTAAACCATGAATCTCTCTCACTCTCTGTCTCTTTCTCTCATTTTCTCTCCCTCTCATCCTTCTTGTTCTAAATTCACTAAAAAAACAAATACCCGGATGTTCTAAACCATGACACACACTCTCTAGATGTGTGCCTAATAATTCTTGGAGGCTGTCAAAGACCCACATTCCAATACACAATCGAGTTAATCGACGAATTCACACTCAAATTCCAATACACAATCGAGTTATTCCATTGAAAGGGTCAAATTTACAGTGATTAAAAGTCTAAAAGAGAATAACCTAGATTCCAATTTTTTGCTACTAGTGAAATTTTGATTATGCAAGAGAGTATCAGTAGGGTTATCAAAGGTAGACTAGACCAAACCGATGGAATTTCTAAGAACGAAGTTACCTGAGTCGTCGAGGGCAGCAGATGAGACGCCATGGCCGGCGGTGTTGGATTTCCAAACGAGGGCACCAGAGGAATTGACAAGGCAGAGGTTGCCTTTGTTGAGGAACTAGAAGGAGGCAGAGGAATCGACGGCACCGGAGTCACCGCCAGCTTTCCAGACTAGGATACCGTTGTAGTAACGGCGACAAAGTATGCAGAGCCATCGGCGATGAAACTTACAGAGAAGGTGTTGTTTGAGGATAGCCATGACTGGTTTAGATTGGAAGCCAAGAGAGAACAAGAAGATGATTGACAACAATGGCTTCATTTTCTCCACACACTCTCTCTCTCTCTCTCTCTCTCTCTCTCCCCTCTGCATTCTTAATCTCTCACATTTGATATGCATGGTTGTATAGCGAGAGGAGGAGGATAAGAGAGAGAGAGAGAGAGACAGAGAGACCAAGTCCTTATTGACTTGGAGCATAGAGAGTGGGTTTATGGTTGTGTTGGTCAGTCATGGGTAGTCTTGAACAAAGGGCTTTTTCGTCTTTTCGCAAGCAAAAAAGTAAGGGTAATATAGTCTTTTTTTTAGAATACTAACATTGTTTGTGCAAAATAAACAGAATGGAAAATTTTGACATTGTCAAGTGAAATAGAAAATATTACTGTAATTATTGAAATTAAAAAGAGTATCCCTGTATTTGTTAGAAACATCAGGAGAGCTAAAAGTAATATACGCAAAAAAGAATGAAAAAAGAGATGCCACGTGCGAAAGAGTAAAAAACTCAAAAAAAATAAATTAGAAAGAGAAAATGTCTAGAGTCTGCGTGCGGATCCTCTAGAGTGATCTCCTAAAGTGGATGATCGGACAACTCTACTTAAGCCTCACCAAAACGATGTCGTTTTGGCGAGTATTTTCAAAAAAAAAAATATTTTTTCCGATTTCAAAATTCCCCCCAAGCTGAAGAGGTATATTAGACGAGCAGGAAGAAGCAGAGTCGCGAAAGAAGGAGAGAGGGAAGAAGAGTTAGAGAGGCTGTTCCGTCGTGCATCCCGTCGGCCCACCATCGCAGTTGCCCCGCTGTCGCCGCCGTCCCGCAGTCGTCCCGTCGCCCCACCGTTGCAGTCGCCACTGTCCTGCCGTAAGCTTCGGTCTCTCATCATATTCCCTATTCCTCTCTCTCTCTCTCTCTGTTTTATTCTTATCTACCAACAAGTTAGCGTTTTCTATTTCATGTATTGTTTAAATCATTGATTTGCACCCTTTATACACATATATGTGTGTAGATATATATGTATTTCAATCTTATTTCAGTTTTGCTTGTAGATTTTACACTCAACAATCTCTCGAAAATTGGTATATGAGTTTGTTCTTTGTTTCGTTACCCTCTGTTTGGTTACCTGGAAAACGAAGAAAAAGAAGGGAAACACCAACATTGTTGTCTTACTCACTCAGTTGGAATGCTCACACATCAACTGTTTGATAATTTGCTCCTTCGAACCTACACACATCACGCCCAATCCTACCTCAGTTTCACTATTTGTTCTAGTCCATTAGCTGTAAAATGAACTCTTCATAGCTCTGCTCAACTTTTGTACCTGACCCAAATGACACTAGTGTTCTTTAGAAAAGGTAGCACCACCTTCACACCGATGGTGAATTCTTGTTCTTTAGAAGCTTTCATTCTGTTTTGCCCCTTTCTCTTTATAGAAGAAAGAATAGTTTTTATGCAATACAGTTATAGTCCTACTCTCTTTCTATTTTCTTGCATTGGAATTGTCAAGTTTGGGTATCTGAAAAGATAAAAAAAAAAAAGAAAAAAGAAAAACCAGATTTAGATTCCCTTTTCCTTCAAAATTGTCCTCTCATGTGTTCTTGAAAAGATAGATTACCTCCTCCTTCTTCTTCAACTGTAGTAGCCTGTAAAAAACAAGTAATCAGAAGAAGAGGAATAGGCTCTAGAAAATTCAAGTAGAATGTGTAAGTTTTGACATTTCTGAATTCTTGAGAAATAAATCAGCAGCCTTTTATTCTTGAGAAAAAAATTTGTTTTGATTTTTTATGCAGACAAATCAGCAGCCTTTAATATGTTGAGTTAATTGTGTATGGAGATAACATTTAAACCTGCAGATGGACTTATTTACTTATTGATTAACATGAAGGCCTATGTAGTAAAAGATAAGTATGTAGATGGTTGTTCCTAAATGTCAAGGTGATGCATACTCAAACAAAGCCTTTGTTAATTGTTCGTATGTGGCCTAAATGTCAAATTGATGTGAAATATTACAAAAATACAAATGATAAATCTAATTAATCACTTAGTGATGTGATTTGTTATAGTTAACGATTATGCTTGACATAAATGAATGCATATTTGGCCATGATATGATATGATATGAAAATTTATTTTATCTTGTAAGGATCATGTGCTAGGTCCTACATGTTTGAGTATGCTGGCTTATCTTCATGGTTGAAAAGGCAAAGTGATTCCCAGCGTGAAAATACAACAACAAATAATAAAAAACAAAATAATGTCCAATTATTAAATAAAGCTTTCCTCCAAAAGGATGTGAGAACTGTGAATTTAGAGTGTAATTAAGGACTCTCACTTTTAACTTTTCGTAGATGACTATGTTTAACCAGGTGTTTATATGACTATGGAGGTATTAAAATTACATAATTTTAGTAGTGGATTGAGTGCATTATTTATTATCATTATTTTCTTTTCTTTTCTTATCTTTTTTTTTTTTCCTCCTATTTTGAGAAGTGGGAAGTAGAAATCTTTTACAATAATTACACAAGGATTCAAATAGATAAAGGATCTTTTATATGAGAAATTGATTGGTAGGTTTTTTGTTTTGCATATGTTAAGTGATTAGCTACATCTACATATAGTCCTAATTATACTTCATTTGCAGCCTCAGCCCTTTTGAACCAAACTATCTGTCAATGAATTGTACTAGCTTGTGACACAGAGCACAAATTGTGTGATTTGTGCTATCAATCTGTTAGTTATGTATACTCAAGTAGAGGAATAGGCTCTACAAAATTCAAGTAGAATGTCTAAGTTTTGACATTTCTGAATTCTTGAGAAATAAAACAGCAGCCTTTAATTATTGAGAAAAAAATCTGTTTTGATTTTTTATGCAAACAAATCAGCAGCCTTTAATTCTTGACATTTCAGAAATATGTTGGTATTTTTAATGCAGAAAAATAATGGCTTCATCTCCTATTCATAATACGAACTTAAGATTCAAGGCAAGGTTTTGTAATTGTGGAAGAATAGCTTCCGTGCGTATAGTACAAACCAATGCGAATGGAAATCAAGGACGTGTCTATTTTGTTTGCCCAAGAAAATATGTAAGTACCTGTTATATAAATGAATCTGTTACTTTTTACAAATTTTATTTGTCCTTTATTGATTAACTGATTCTTGTCCATTGTAGACTACGAACGACCACTGCAATTACTTCAAGTGGTTCGCAGATGATGACGACGACGACGACGACATTACCTCATCAATCCGTGTCAATGCTGGACCTCCGACAGATTCAAGAACATAAGAAATTAATGATCTAAGGAGAAGGGTTCAAAGGATTGAGAAGATTTTCAAGGCAATGACTTATGTCATTGTATTTTGTGTATTTTAGTACTTTATCATGTAAATAACTCAGTTCTTAGGTTTTGGAATTTTTTTTTGGTGCTTCAAAATCTGATGGTTTGCAAAAACAAGTGTGTAACATGTTTGATTGAGATGAAATGTTGAATGAACAATTTGTGAAATCTATTACTTCAGGTTGAATGTTGTATAACAGGTTTCTGAAATGTTGTGTAATGTTGAATGTTGAAATGTTGAATAATGTTGAAATGTTGAAATGTTGAAAATGTTGTATAACAGGTTTCTTTAATCTATTGAAAATGTTGAAATGTTGAATGTTGTATAACAGTGTGCATTATATGTGATGGTTTGAAAAAAACAGGTATATTGATTAACAGGTTGAACATGAGCTATTGAAATGTGTTCAATGAACAAGTTTGTGTAGGAGGTTTTATGTGAATAAGTGTCATACAGAATGGATATCTACAGAAGACATGATTCTCATTTCGTCGTTCTGTTTTTATATTAGCTACTTGCATAGATCATTGCGCAAAACAACCATTAAATCACCCAAAAAAGCAAATACAAACCAAATGTAACCTACAAGACTTGACAACATACTGCATATATGATTCCAATGCAAAATTATGATGCTGATAACATAATAAAATGAACAAATGAGTTCCAGAACAAATCCCCATAGGTCAAATGAACAAATCCCCACACATAATAAAATGAGTTCCATAGCACAGATCAAGGTCCAAAACAGAAAGTTATCAACTTTGCTTATATTGAACCCAAATTTCAGCATAAATTCAGCATTATTCTGCAAGAGTGTGCAGCAATTTCAGCATTATTCAGAATAAATTCAGCATTATTCTGCAAGAGTGTGCAGCAATTTCAGCATTATTCAGGATAAATTCAGCATTATTCAGCAACATTTCAACATTTCAACATATCAGCAAATAACTTCAGCAACATTTCATCAACTCAGACAGCAACATTTCAGCATTATTCAAGCAACATTTGAACAGAAATTTCAGCAAAATTTAAGCAACAATTGAACCCAAATTTTTAGCAACAATTCAACATTTCAGGGATGGTATCAGCAAATTTTTAGCAACAGTTTAATGAAAGGTTTTGAATATTACATATCCAACAAAAAATTCACAAAAATTCCCAAAACAAAATAACGCTAAGATGTTGGCGTGTGATCCACATCCCCATGCCCACGGCCACGACCACGACCACGACCATATAGTACCTACAAAAATATATATATATATATATATATTACATCAAAGGAATCATAAAATAAAATGGAACTTTAAATGAATGAATGACAAAATAAAATAGGAAAGGTGAAAAATAAATTACTTCACTACATGCGGGACTATTTGAAGCTTGCGAGTGATAACTACTTGTATTGTTAAGCAATGCTTGATAGGTTCCATGGACGGAATACATCGATGGCATTGAAAAATGCATATTGTGATGAAGAAAACTTGGCTGCAACAATAACAAACACATATCAATTTAAAATGATAATAGTCACCTAGAAATCCCTACTAAAACTTTTTATTAAACTAACTTACATCATAGGCGGGATACATAAATTGAGACGAAGAAGCTCTAACTTGAGGAACACTCGGCGAGAATGGACGAAGTTGAGGAGCACTTGAAAATAAAGGAGCCGACTTAGGAAATAAGGGAGGTGCTTCAGGAGCACTTGCTGAAAATAAGGGAGGAGTTTGAGGAGTGTGCACTCTTTTCTCTTGAGTCCTTTTGCTTGGACTACATTTTTATCCGCTACACTATCCACTTCAAAGCTTTCGGGGCATGTGTTGGGGTGGCTTTCTTGTTGAATAGTATTTGAACAAGGCATATTGAATTTTGCGCTTAACATGGTTTCAATGTTTGCAATTAATTCATTCGCTTTCTCGACCGTCAAATTATATGTTTCCTCACTTTCAGAAGCTCTACACGCTACTGATCTGAATATTGCCATCAATGACCTATAACGTGAAGTTTGATGCAATCTTACATCAACCTGAATATCATGCCCACACCTATCTTTCACTTTTTCAGATCTTGCTTTTTTAGTCCATCTCTTCAGAATATATTGTGAAGGAATCTCTTTCAATTTGAGTCTTTCTCTAAGGATCTTCAAATAATGACTACACAAAATGCCCTTTATTTCAAACTTCTTACAATTACAAGTGACCGAATCATCACACTCCTGCCTCACCTTCCTCACCTTTATACCATTACTATCAAGAACCGTATAAACGGTACTCTCACCATCATTTTCAATTTCTTCAATGTTGACTTCAAGGGACTTGACATACTCATCCTGAAATTCTTCAAAAATTTTATTTGTGTAAACATCTGCAGCTTGCTCCATAATCTTCATTTTAATATTCACCCTTGGCAACTTTTGGCATAGAGCATATTCGGCTTGTAAGTCTTTGTACCTTTTCTCAGACAAAACTCGATCAAAATGCATGGAAGATTGCATTAAGTTATGATCAGACTGAATGAAATCCTTCAAGAAAGCATTAAAGGATTCACTAAGTTGGGTGCTACTCATGCCCGCACCCCATGCATTTCTAACATATAGCCAACCCCATTTTTCCTTGACCCCAAATGTTAACTTCAACCAATGATTATCTCTTACTTCATACTTGTCAAGCATTTCCTCCCATTTTAACATAAACTCTTTCTTATCCTCAATGTCGTACATAAACGTGTATAAAACACTCTTCATCTCCTTATCCTTGAAGATAGAATTTGCATGCCTTAATGCATTTTGCATCAAATGCCAAGTGCAAAGGCGGTGGGTTGTGTTAGGCATGACAATAGGTATGGCCTTAGCTATTGCAGCATCTTGATCCATAAAAATTGTTTTTGGAGCCTTACTTGACATTGCCTCCAAGAATCTTCTAAAAAGCCATACGAAAGAATCGGCGGTCTCATCATACATCAAAGCTGCACCAAATATCACAGTTTCCTTATGATGGTTAAATCCAACAAAAGATGCAAATGGTTTATGTGCACTATGTAACTTGTAAGTAGTGTCGAAAGTGACAACATCACCAAATTGCCCATAATCCATGATCATCTGAGCATCGGCCCAAAATATGTTCGTAATCTGCTCCTCGTTATCTAATTGGACCGAGTAAAAAAAAGATGGATTCTCCAATGATTTGTCACGAAAATATTGCAAAATGCTACCTGCCTCCCCATATGCTAAACTGTTTTTCCTCTTCGTTCTCAAATAATTTTTTGGGTCAAGTTTTGTAAACCCAAGCGACTCCCTTCCACCAACTTCATTACCCATGAGCTCAAATGCATCATTAAGACGGATTCCAGATTTTTCGGCTAAATCTATTTCGGTTGCCTGTGATGCAGATATCTTCCTTTGGGGTGGTAACATATGCGTACATTCTGCTGGTACGAAGATATGATTATGTTGTTCAACAAAATCACTAACAAAAATTTTCTGAATATTCATATTCCACTTAATGACAAGTCTGGCTTGACAACCAGTCATCACTTCCTGCCTAAGATTTTTTGTTAATGGATCTCGCTTGTCGACAACCCAAAATCCCTCCTTATTACAAACAAATTGCCTTGAAGTGATTTGCCCCTCTTTGCTCTTGTTTACATAACCCCTTCTAATACTAAAGCCTAACCTTCGTTCATAAGTATTATAGAAATCATATGCTTCTTGTTCTGTATCAAATGTCATGCGAACTCTAGGCTTCCAATCACACTCACCCCTGTCATTCTCATGATTGTCAGGTTCCATATCAATGTGCCAAGTCACTTAAAAAATAAAGTGCTCAATATTAGCATAAAAACTGTAAATTATGTTTGCAAAATATTACAAACTGAATAAGATAATCAACGAATAACAAACTGAATAATACAAATTAAATTATGGTCTTTGTTATGTATGACAGTGTGGTTTTCATTAAGATGTTCACTACAACAGGTATTCATTGTTATCACAATTCACTAGTAAAGCATTAGCTACCTTTTCATATTTCTAACTAGTCATTTTCTATTATCTGAAATCCCATGTTAGCTAACTAAGAGTTCAAAGGAAAATAAGTGCAACAAAACTAAAATTTTGAGCTAAAACATTATATGCCACCTTAATTGCCATGAATTTTAAAGCTTAAAAAGCTAATATGATTGAACTCAGTCAAGTAAATGAGCTGGTATATGAGCAAGTATAGAAATTTTCAAGATTTCGTGAAGTTTACACAGAACCCAAACAAGTTCAACGATCAATTTCTGTCTAAAGTAAAACCAGTGGCCCAATTTATCAAACACTCCAACTGCAATCACAAAAACACTTTTCCAGAGCAAAACCCAGTCCACCAAACACAATTTTGAGCAAAACCCAGATCACCAAACACTGAAATAAGATTGAAATACATATATATCTACACACATATATGTGTATAAAGGGTGCAAATTAATGATTTAAGCAATACATGAAATAGAAAACCCTAACTTGTTGGTAGACAAGAATAGAACAGAGAGAGAGAGAGGAATAGGGAATGAGATGAGAGACCGAAGCTTACGGCAGGATAGTGGCGATTGCGACGGTGGGGCGATGGGACAACTGCGGGACGGTGGCGACAGCGGGACAACTGCGACGGTGGACCGACGGGATGCATGACGGAGCAGCCTCTCTAACTCTTCTTCTCTCTCTCCTTCTTTCGCGGCTCTGCTTTTTTCTGCTCATCTAATACACCTCTTCAGCTTGAGGGAAATTTTGAAATCGAAAAAAATATTTTTTTTTATTTTTTTGAAAATACTCACCAAAACGACGTGGTTTTGGTAAGGCTTAAGTAGGCCGTCCGATCATCCACCGTAGGAGTTACTCTAGAGGATCCGCACGCAGTCTGTCTAGCCTCTTAGCTTGTACTTCAATCCTTGCCCAGAATGATCATCTTGATTTCAAATTCAAACGTCCATGAACCCTAGAGGATTCAATCTCGTTTCGACAATCTCTCTGTCTCTCGCCTTCGAATTCATTGATTTGTGTATAGTTCTCAATTCGAAACCCTTCCTTATCAATTTCAATTCGAAACCCTAATTATGCTCAGTCACAGCTCCTGAACCCTAGAAAACAGAGATGAGCAGTAACGAGTTCCGATTCTTCTTGTCTTGTGATATCAATCTTCCAGTGACCTTCCGAGTCGAGAGGCTTGAAGGAAACATGCCAGGAACTAAGCCCCTTAATTCAGGTAACTTCTTTTCTCAAGCTCTCATTGAAATTTTCGAAATTGGGTTGTGAATTACAGTTTAACTATCTAATGGGTCTTTGACCTATCCAACTTATTAGGGTTTTATTCACCCAAAAAAAACTTATTAGGGTTTGAATAATTTATGAGTTTTTCTGAATTTTGATGTTTAAAGTTTTACTGGGTTGGTACAATATCTCTTGATAATGTTGCAATTAATCACACTTGTACTACTTTTTGTAGTTACGATTGTGTTTAATTCAATTCTTCGGCTGAAATTGATTTTTTTACTAAACTCTCGTTGAAATTTTTATGTTTGGGTTGTGAATCGCAATTGAACTGTCTCATGGGTCTTTGAGCACTTCAACGTAGGGTTGAGAAATTTTATGAGTTTTTCTGAATCTTGTTGTTTAAAGTTTTACTGGGTTGGTACAGTATATTTTGATGATGTTGCAATTCATCACATTTATCAGAATTTGCATTTATGATTGTGTTTAATTCAATACTTCAGCTGAAGTTGATTTTACCATAGAGGAGAGAAGACCGGAGCTATATGTTGAGTGTGCATTGCACATTGATGGTGCACCGTTTGGGCTTCCTACTAGAACAAGGTTTAGCTGATCTCATTCTTAAATTCCCATGTCAATTTGGTTGGGCAAAATAAAAATAAAAATATGCATCTCTCATCTTATATATATATATATATATATCAGTTTTTTGAACTACTAGAAATTACACAAAATATCATGTAGTGTGAAAACAATAATTTGAAGTGGCTGGTTTTTTAATTTTTTTCTGCTTGTCTTCCTCATTTACGTTTGCAGGTTAGAATCAGTGGGTCCAACATATTGCTGGAATGAACTCATTACGTTGAGTACAAAATATCGAGACTTAACTGCCAACTCACAACTTGCTTTAACAGTAAGTTATCAGTGTTTCTTTCTTGTCATCGTGTTTATACGTGAGCACATATACATGTGTGTGTGTTGGGAAGTGTCTGACGAGTGTTGTGTCGTGTCAGTGTCTGACATGACACATTGCCTTCTAGAAGTGTCAAATGTTTCTTAGGCCATCTCTATGTTAAGATTATTGGGAATGTGGAAACTACTTGGCGCGAAAATGCTTGATGATTGACTGTAGTACCAGGGAGTTTCCATGACATAAACGTATACAGATAACTGTCTTTGGATACTTATACTATTAATCTTGTTCTCATTCTTTTAATGTGTTCCTAGGTATATCTGTATTGCATGGTCTGATTTTTAATAATAATGCTTTGCTTTTGTAATAACTAAAATGTTACTAATCATATGTAGAAAATTGAGTTCTGTTCACTGCTCATTCTGTTATTGATTTATTGTTGAGAAAGTAGTCAATTTGGTGCATGAGTTGAGAAACTTTCCTTTGTCTCATATCTTGTTTGGCGCATGTCTTTTGCTACAGTTGAAGATAGAATTCACTGTTATACATTAGGTTTGGATTCACTTGGTGCTGAGCTGTAATTTGTAGTGATATTCCTGGAATTGCAGGTTTGGGATGTTTCATGCGGGAAAACTGAGGGTTTGATTGGTGGGGCTACCATTAGTCTTTTTAACACAAAAAAACAACTCAAAACAGGGAGGCATAAGTTTAGGCTTTGGCCTAGAAAAGAGGCAGATGGATCTATACAGACAACTACTCCTGGAAAGGTTTATAACTATTACTTTTTGTTGGGGTTAATACTTTTATGTTTCATGGTTTTTGCCTAGTTTTTAAAAAAATGTTGTGATACTTAGATTCTGTTCATCTTCTCACCACAATTTGTGTTCATCTGCTCACCACAATTTGTTAGGTTCCTAAGGAAGAACGTGGGGAGTTGGAGCGTTTGGAAAAGCTTGTAAATAAGTATGAAAGGGGACAGATTCAACGAGTTGATTGGCTGGACCGCCTTGCATTTAAAGCTATGGACAAAATTAAGGAGCGTGAAAGTGGTAGAAATGGAAGTTGTTTATACCTCGTGGTTGAGTTCTGCAGTTTTGAACATCGAGTTGTTTTTCAGGTAGAGTTTTCTCAGTCTGCAGGCATAAGAGTTATTAATTGTCTGTCCTCAACTCTCTTGACAAATTGTTTGCCTTCTTGGTTGAATTGTAATGCATTGAAATTAAGCTAGTTGTGGCTTACTATGTAGTACTTGCCATAAGCACGTGGTTGGGTTACAAATGAAGGGTTGTCACTCGTTTAGAATAGACATGTTAAAACTGTTGCCGAATTTGTGTACAATATTGAGGTGATGAGTCCTTGGAATCAGTTGTTGTGCAACACTATCGATATGAAATTGTAGCTGGTCTGTCACTAGACATGTAGCGCAACACTAGGGCACAAATCACTAAACTTCAGTGTACCAATGGTGTCCTGTATTTTCAGTGATATACTACTATCTACTCCCTCTGTCTCAAATTGGTTGTTTGGCACGGAATACAATAACTTAAAATAATGTAATCTTGTACCGAAATTTCAAAAAAATGTCACCAGTTAAAAGATCTCATTAAGTACTTTTAATTTGAGGGAAAAAATTGAAATTTTGGCACAAAAATATTTTTAAATTCTTTTTTTTTTGTGCCGGACAAACAATTTGGGACGGAGGTAGTAGTATCCTTGAAACATTTACTATAATGGCAGTAGACACAGTAGGTCTCAACACTATATGTGCTTTTCCTTTTCTGGATTTTCAGTTATATTTTCTGAATTCTGGTTGTACAGTTCAGCTTACTGTCCTATATGAAAACCCTGCTTATATGGAAACCAATTAGTGAAAGCTGCAATTTGAATGTGCTGACACATTATCTCTGTTGTAACCTCTGGTGAATGACGAGTTAGCATTTTGCTTGTTTATTCTGCTACTTGATTTCAAAATTCTGAATACTCAACTCAAATCAAGAAGCATAAATCCAAATAATTGGTTTTGGGTGGGGGGGGGAGCTATATTTATGCATTGCTAATGCAATATCTTCCATTGAAGTCCAAAGCAATCAAGTTCTTTTTTCTTGGCCCCTACTCACTTCCATGTTTGTGGGCTAGTTGATTTGTGCAGGACATGGTCAAAACCATGTCAATTAACTTTTCTCTTTTTAAACAATGTGGCACCACTTCTTTCTTCCTAGGACGATATTCATTTCTTGTTGCGTCTTTTTTCATAATACCACTCTTCCATCTCAACATTCTCGTGTTAGCTATACCTCCCACTTCTTACTTCCTAGGACAATATTCATTTCTTGTTTGGGTCCTTTTTCATTATACAACTCATCCATCTTAACATTCTTGTGTTAGTTACACCCATTTTTGGACATGTTTTCCAACTAGCCAACAGTCTGAGCCATAGAACATAGCTGACTAGATCTTATAAAACTTTCCCTTCAAATCAGAGGGAATTTTCATGATCATGCAAGACTCAGAAAAGACTTTTCTATTCCATGCATTGTACTTGTAAGGATATTGCTGGCATCTTCTTAAACCTCTCCTTTTTATGTGTAATTGATATGCGATATTTGAAATGGTTAATCTTGGTATAACCTAGTTATCAAGTTTCACTGTCACATCATTCCTATTTGTAATTTTTCTAAAATTATACTCCATGTATTATGTACTAGCCCTACATAACCTTAAATTTTAGATTGTAACGTATGATCTTGAAGTTCTAATTAGAATCAATCCCTACTCTAAATTCATCAATTAAAAACTATGTCATCAACAAAACATGCACCCTGGTACATTTCTCAAATATGCCTGGTAAGTCTATTCATAATGTTTTCGACACAAAATCTTGTCCTAAACTTTATTTCTCTATTTTACTGAGTACTAATCAGTCCTGGATCTTTTCAAATATATTTTTTTTGCTAGATTTGGAAGTTAAAGTTAATCGTGTAGTATAGACATTACCAGTGATTGATTTTTTTTTTCTTTTCATGTTTTTGTTGGTTGTTTATTTATTGTTGGACATGTAGGAGTCAGGTGCAAATTTCCTTATACCATCTCCTATAACTACAAGCAATGAATTGGTTACTGTGTGGGACCCGGAGGTGGGCAAGATAAATCCTTCTGAGCACAAGCAACTAAAGCTTGCTAGGAGTTTAACCCGTGGCATCATTGACAGGGATCTTAAACCAAGCTCCAGTGAAAGGAAGTAAGCCCAAAATCCAGTCATCAGAAACTAGAAAACAAATATTTTCTTTAGCTTTATTGGATAAAATTAAAAGTGTGAAACTAAATCTTTTATTTTCTTTCGCTACTGAATGACTGATGTGAAAGCACTTGAGAGTTGAGCCCAACAATTATCAAGTTTGTAAAACATGTTGTTTGAAAAATCAAATGTTTTGGGATGGGGTTTGTAAGGAATGTAAAATGTATGATTTTAATTCCTGTGGTTAAAATCATACTGTTTTCGTGCGAAAGTAGATGTTTGCTGCCAAAAAACTATAATTAAATAATGATGATATATATGTCATTGTGGAGATTTTCAGACACCATGTCATGAATCCTCCGTATAGGAAACTATCTATTAGAAAAAAGGATACTACCATGCATACTTGTCATGTGTCACAAATTACAGGCTTGAGGCATTATTTTGCAGAATTTCCTCACCAAAAATATGGCTCAACTTCTCAAGTTGTACCTAAATCTTCTCTCTTCCTCTTCCTCCCATTCTCCGCCTCATAATTTAAATCTGAACTGATAAATTTATGTTAGCAAAGGTTATGTTAAGATATCTCTTCCTTGGCTATCAGGTCAATACAGAGAATATTAAAATACCCCCCAACAAGGATTTTAAGTGGTGATGAAAGGCAGCTCTTGTGGAAATTTCGTTTTTCATTGATGTCAGAGAAGAGGGCTCTCACAAAGTTTCTCCGTTGTGTCGAATGGAGTGATGTTCAGGTTAGTATGTTATTTTTCTTTTCTTCTTTCTTTTTCTTTATTGTCATATTATATTATTCCTTTCCATGGGCCAAACTATAATAGCATTGCACAATTCTTCCCCCCAGCTTGTGCAGTTGGAATCTCTTGTTACTAATTAAATTTCATGTGATGTAACTGTTGTGTTCTTGGCCGCCTTTTGATGTAGGACTTTGTTTCTATCTTTTTAATCCATTCCCTTCCCTCTCAGTTTATTCCTTTAGTTTCATTGGGTGGTTAACAGTTTTTTGTACTTATTTCTTATAAACTTGGTTGGTTGACATGTTGATATGTGATAAATCAGTCAATAACATCCCTCGCTTTTTGTCTCTCGCTTTGTTTATTTGTTCATTAGATAATGTGGAAAGTTGCTTCAGTATCTATTCTCAGCACTTATTTCAGAGCAGATTGGTGTATCTCCCTTGTCTATAGATCAATGTTTGAAATCTAGACTGTTTATTGATCTGGCTATATAACCTAAGAAATAAACTATAAATATTTTATAGTTTTTCATGACCCTAACTCTGTAATTTTTCAAAGTGCAATAGCTTTTCTCCAACATAACATCATGCTGACATACTGATTCACAATTTAACAATGCAAAAGTTGTTTTAAAAGAAAGAAAGAAAGAAAGAATTTAAAGGTGAATTGGCAATTGTCCATTGTCTCTTCCAATACCATTGTGAAAAAGTAAATTGATATGACCTCAATTTTCAAACATAAATGAGTAATTTAATCTTTTTGTCTTAAACTCACAAGCAGAAATGACCTTTGACTATATTTTTTTTAATCTGCGAAACAGAAAATACTATTGATAATGTTCATCCTCTTAAGCATAATTTATTCTGAGTTTTTGTTTCATTTTCTATTTATATAGTCATTTATTTATTTATTCTCTGAATCAAGATTGACCCAATCCATAATTAGTATGGTGAGCCAGGAGGAAATAATAGGATCTGGTAGGAGCTTCTTGTGCTCATTCTGAACTGTGGATTAATTTATTGCTTTGTTTCCTAATGGCACCTTTCTTTTTCTCATTGGCGGTTCCACTTCCATTCATGTGTTTGCTTTCCATTACTGTGCTTTTGTTCCTTTTATGCTAGAGACAGAGTCTAGTGCTTTGTCAAAGTGCGTATTGTACTTTTTTACTCTGGACTTAAAACAAAAGTCAACTTTTTATCACTTAATTCATAAATTGACATGCTTTCTATGATTGATAGATGTTGGAATGAAGTGATGAGTGCAGTCCACAGTTCCATTTTGATGTTTATCTGCATCATTTCTAATCCAGCTTCTTTTGATATTAATATTTTGATCAACTCTGAGGATGGCATGCTCATTTGTTTGCAGGAAGCAAAGCAGGCAGTAGAATTGATGGGAAGGTGGGAAACAATCGATGTATGTGATGCATTGGAGCTTCTATCACCTGTTTTTGAAAGTGAAGAGGTCAGTACTATACATATACGCATGCATGCAAGTGTGTTAGAATTTACTATCACCTACCACCACTACCACCTCACCTACTCCACTAAACCTAACCCACTACACCACTACCACCTCACCTACTCCACTAAACCTAACCCACTACACCACTATCACCATCCACTACACACCATCCACTACACCTACATCTATATAAGGAACCATTTGTAATAGACAGAAATTACAATTAACACATCAATCAATAATACATACAATTTATCTCTATCAATATTTTTTACTTGGTATCAGAGCTATAAGATTTAGGCCTATACTCCTTTCTTTCCGGCGGGCAGCCGGCCGGCAACCTTGCCTTCGCTGCCCTCGCTGCCCGCGGGAGTTTTTCAACACATATCACAAACACATACCTTCTCTCCCGCTGTTTGATTCGGAATTCGCCGAAGCGTCACATATTGATCCACAAACACTTCGCCACACTCTTTGACAGAACAACTCATCACTCCCCAAAAGCCCCAATTTCACTTCCTTTTTTGAAACCCATTTCGTCAATACCAGTCTCGCAACTGCCTCTCAGTATCCCATTTACGGCGCTGGTGCTGGTGGGATGATGACAGCGGCAGCAGCGGCAGCAGCGGCAGCTGCGTTCTACCCATATCTGAATTTCGGAGAAGGGACTAATGGAACAGGTGAAGGAGGAGGAGGAGCTGCCACCAACTACACGACAGCGGCAGCTGGGCAAGGGTATGGTGTGCAGTACCCACACCACCTCTTTCAGTACTCAGCAGCAGCAGCAGCCATGAACTCAACTGGTGGCCCATGCAGGTCTTCAGCTCTATGGAGGTGCCTGAGAACATTGAGGCTGCCTCCTCCCATCCTCTGTTATGTCCCATACACCTATTAAATGGAACTCCAAACAAGCTGTTACAGTCAGCAGAACTCACATAACTGTAAGTATCTCGTCCCTTGAAAATTTACAGATGGCATGTTGAAGGTGCTCAGCTGTCTGTCCATCCATTGCTGCAATTGAATAAAAGCTCGAAATGAAATGTACCTCAGCTTCCAAAAATCCTCTCACTTGCTCTTGCATAGTTTTAAGTGTTTCCTTTGTTCGCACTGCATCACTGGACAAAATAAGCTCAGGAATCCAACCCAACTGCTGGAGCTTGTGTGAAACTGCAATAGCATCAGCTTGTCCCGCTTTACTCAAAGGGCGATCATGATCTTTGCAAGATAAAGAAGGAAGCAGGTATCAAGAAGCCTCGCAATGAACGATCATCCCATGAACTCTTCGCATGACGAAGCAGGATTAGGCGGCGAGCAACAGACTCCGAACGAGCCTCCTCTGAAGTTTGAGCTTCGGCGACGGTGGTCGTCTCAATTACGAGAGATCGAGCGGATCGTGTTCGAGGGGAAAGAATAGGGAAGAAGAGGGTCGGCGAGGAGGAGTAGGATAATGTTTTTTTTTTTCATCTCTCTTTCCTTCTCTCACTCTCTCTGCAGCTTTGACAAAAACAAATAAAATAACAATAACAATAAAATACAATAAACAATACCCACACTGATATGCACACTGCTCCAAAAAAAATCACAACAACAACAGCTTTGTTTTCTTTTCTGCAGACGGCCACCCACCGACCTACTCTGCCGCCAGTCTCTTCTTTTTTCCTCCGTCCTGGACGGCCCTTGACGGTGCTGCCTTCGTGTTTTCCACGCCGCCCAGCACGTTCACACCCCCATACTCCTCCACTGCAGCATATGGCGGCCCTCCAAATCGGAACATCACGGTGGCCTTCCGCTTCAGCTCCTTGTTTTCTGCCCTTAGCACGCTTATCTCTGCTCGCGCATCCTTATACATGCGTTGGAGCAGAGCCAGCTGGGAGTTTAACTGCTGCACCTCATTTGTCCTACTCTGCAGTCGGTTCGACAAATTTGTGACCGCCGTCATGGTTTCCACACATGACTTCAAGGTATATTGATTGGCCTCCACATCTGACTGCAATGCCATTCTTTGCTCCACCGACCGCATCGGAAAGTTCAACGGAGCAAACTCCGGGGCGCTTGGTTGAGGTTCCAGTGCCACCGCACCAGTTCTCTCTCTTGTTGACTCGTTGAGGTCGGGAAAGAGGGTGAGCAGCCCGCGGGAAGACGAAGCCATTTTCTGGGCAACAGAGTGTTACAGCCTATCTCTCTCAGCTAAAGGAAATATCTCTCTCAGCAAAGGAAGCGTTTTTCAGGGGATTTTCAGAAGTTTTTTGTTTGCCTCAGCCTCAGCCTCTGTCTTATAGCCGAGGCAGCCACGCGCATCGCGCGCCTCTTACCACCAGCCGACAACACGGGCGCGCAAGCCCAGGCGCCCACGTGCCTCGCCATCATGTCCGGCACGTCTTTTGATGAATTGGGCACGCCTTTTGATGGCACGCCTTTTGACAAAATTAGGCACACCTTTTGAGGGTGCAACTTTTCCAAGGGTCCGACAAGACTCTGTAAACTGTCCCGACATTGATTCCGGTTAGTTTCTACAAGGGTCCAGCAAGACTCCGTAAACTGTCACAACATAGTCTGCTACAACGGTCCGACATGACCCCATAAACTGTCTTCTACATCGGTCTGACACCACCATACAGTGTCCTCTACCACGTTATGACACCCCCATACAGTGTCATCTACAACGTTATGACACCACCATACAGTGTCCTCTACAACGTTATGACACCACCATACAGTGTCTCCTCTCCTTTTTATGTATTTTCTTGTTTTGTTCCTCTCTTCAAACTCAAGTTGGTTAGTTTCTATCCTCCTTGAGTTTGCGGGGGCTGTTAGAATTTACTATCACCTACCACCACTACCACCTCACCTACTCCACTAAACCTAACCCACTACACCACTACCACCTCACCTACTCCACTAAACCTAACCCACTACACCACTATCACCATCCACTACACACCATCCACTACACCTACATCTATATAAGGAACCGTTTGTAATAGACAGAAATTACAATTAACACATCAATCAATAATACATACAATTTATCTCTATCAATATTTTTTACTAAGTGTTTGTGTATGTGTGTGTTGTCTAAGAATGTGTTGACTCTAGATGAGATGTATGCATCTGTGCGTTGTCTAAGGATGTACTGACATCGTATATCTCAACTAAATAACTGAACTGCATAACTGATATCAGCAAAGGAATTCAGTTGGCAGAGATTCTGCATCAACACAGCAAAGAGAATAGTGGTGGTGTGGTGCCAAAAGGAAAAGACAACAAGGAGAAAACTTCTTATTGCTCTTCATTTCCTGCACTTAGAGTTATACCATTTTCTAAGAAAATAGGATTTGTGTTTTTTTCCCCCTCTTTTTTTGTTTGTTTGTTTTGATGCCTTGAATAACAGTTGAAGCCTTGAAGGTCATTTCACTGGCCTTCTTGACCCCTTATTAGAAAAGTTTGTTGCTTATACAGATTAGATGATCATGGTGGTTACTCTAAATTTTGTTCAAGTGCTACCTTTTATGAAAAGTACTTCCTTTATAATGTAAGGTGTGGAACTGTCTCTAGATTTGAGTTCTTCGACTTGGAAGCATGTTTAATTTCATGGAGCTGTGCCCATCTAGAGACTAGCTATGCTTTCCAAAACTCATGTCAATTTAAGCAATCTGTTTCTTCACTGTAGCTGATACATCCTGAAAATAAAAAAACGGCGATCTCTAGTTTATCCACATCCAATGTCTATAATGTTGCATGAATAATATCTATAAAGAATACATTGAAACATTGTTGTGCTTCAAACTAGCCTCAATGGCTGGGTTGTGGCTCATGGTTGAGTATGAAAATGTCTTTGATGTATATTCAGGACTTATTTCTTAAATTCGACCTCAAATCGTGGTTTCACAGATCATTATATAGCACAAGGGCTCCTGTGATGTGACCTGGTTATTATTGTAACAGACAGTCAACCTCTTAACCAGTGGGGCCCTTTTGAAAGGTGGATGAAGATGCCCTCTCTTTTTGAAGCTTCTCAACAAGTTTTGAAAGATATAGTTGCCATAGGGTAGATAATTTTCATATTTATTTACAGTCATCAAGGCTACACTCCTCTTTAATCCCTAGTTAGTTTTAGTGAGTTGCTATCGCTTTTTTCAATCTTCTTCTCTCACAAGTTTTTAAAATCTTTAATCAATAGGAATTTATTTTTGAGCTTCGCAGGCAAAACACTGGGTAGCAGACACAAGTATCTGATAGCAATCATCCACCACATTGCATATTGTGTCAGACCAAATACATTCCATATCTTCACATTTTCCATCCCATTCCTTGAGGAGATTCCTGGAAGTCCTTCAAAATTTTCATGCCATAGAAACGTGAATTGGAAAATGAGTGATAAACTGCATTAGAAAATCTTCTGCCATCACCTAGTGTTTGTTCCCCCAATTTTGGTGCTGTGGGCTAAATATAGACTGGGCCTTTTGCATACAGTAGCTGTTCTCAAACTAAACCCATTTTCTCTCACTTGATGAAACCCACTTTTACTATTGCACCAAGATTGGCTTTTGTTGTTCTTGGTTTCATATAGTACATGCATTTCTTTTCAGTATATAAAAAATGTGTGTTATTACACATCAATTATTATTGTAAAGATTCTTTACATGTAATCACACATGAAAGACTGGCTGCTGCTACCAAGGCACTCTTCTAACCTTCCCTGCTCATTAAAATTACCCTATATTTTAGCTCAACTAAAAATCAGCCATCTCACTGTTATGCTATTCTTAGTGTCCAAAGTTATCACCCTGTAACCTTCCCTGCTCATTAAAATTACCCTACATTTTAGCTCAACTAAAAATCGACCATCTCACTGTTATGCTATTCTTAGTGTCCAAAGTTATCACCATGTGTTCAAACCACTTTTGACACTGTTGTTATAATGTCAATGAGAAAAAGAGCCATGGCATTATTGGATGTGGGACGATGATCATTGGACAAGAAAAATTGTACTTCCTGATCTTTACTAAAACTAGGAAGTGCCTTTTGCAGTTCAACTGATGAAATTTAAATTACATTTTTAATGTTGTGGATATTTTGTAAATATCACCCTAGACTATTATAATATGCCTTCTTAACAGGTCCGTGCATATGCTGTCAGTATTTTGGAAAGAGCTGATGATGAAGAGCTTCATTGTTACTTACTTCAACTAGTTCAAGCTCTTCGGTTTGAGCGTTCTGATAAATCTCGCCTTTCTCATTTCCTTGTGCAACGCTGTACGCCTGCTGTTATCTACATCAAATAACTTTCAAGTGCCAAATTTATATTGTTTTGTGGTTTGCTTACTGATGTCAATCTGAAATTTCTCTTTAAAATTTGACAGCATTATGCAACATTGAGTTGGCTAGCTTTCTCCGGTGGTATGTTGCAGTTGAACTTCATGATCATGCATATGCAAAACGTTTTTATTGTACCTATGAGATTCTGGAGGAAAATATGATGAAGGTCTGTGATTCTCATCTCCCAATAGCTCATGAATTGAGAATTTTATTTATTACATGATGCCATGCATATATGGATTATTGGGACTATTGTGAGATGTGTTTTTTTGTCTGCCTTAGTTTAAACAAAGCCTCTTTTTTTTTTTCTTTTCTTTTTTTTTTTGGGTATGGAATATTATTCAAAACGTTTATTATTTCACTGCATTGCAAAAATATGGTATTTTCCCTCTATATATACCTAAAGCCAGGTGTCTTAGAAAAGATTTGGAAGCTAACCTGAAGTGTGGAATGCATATGTAGTTGCCTGCAACATGGATGGAAGTATTGAAACATCTGACTTAATTTTGCATGCTAGAATCTACAATTAGCTTTTTGCATTATTATGATGAGCATTGAAGAAGCAAGTTTCTATTTTTTGTGGCTGTTGTTATGAGATAATGAGGACCATTTTCTTTTATGTTTTGGTGCATGAAGCAAAAATAATCTGTGGGCTGTAATTGATCTCCTTTAATCAAGCATGCTGACTAAAATAAAAATGAGGACATCTAAAGAAGTAGGTTCAGACGTTTAGTACTGTTCAGAAATAGGTTCGGACATCTAAAGAAATTAAAAAAAGAAAAGAAAAAAATACATACATACAAAAAGAAAGCCTCTGAGATGTTTGATTTAGTCCCTGCGATTCAGTGATCAAGTCTACTCTTTAACAGTTGGGAGTTGCTGGCAGTGGAGATGAAGACGGATTTAAGCTGTGGCAGAGTTTGGTGCGCCAGACAGAACTGACTGCTCAGTTGTGTTCTATAATGAGAGATGTAAGAAATGTCCGAGGTGGAACCCATAAGAAGATTGAAAAGCTTAGGCAGCTTCTTTCCGGTCTTCTTAGTGAACTTACTTACTTTGAAGAGGTATTTCTAGGATATGATGCTCCTTTTCCATTGATCATATATTATTATTAGCTGAATTTGTGTTTTTCAATTTATCTGTTATTTTGGCATTTGGTTAGTTCATACCATGTAATTACTGATATTGTCTTTGAATGTAAATAACACTGAACATATTTGTCTCTTATGTTTTCAGCCAATACGATCACCTTTGGCACCAGGCGTCCTCATCACGGGTATTGTTCCATCAGAATCTTCGATTTTTAAAAGTGCATTGCATCCTTTGCGCCTGACTTTTCGGACAGCAAATGGTGGGAGTTGCAAAATCATATTCAAGAAAGGAGATGATCTTCGGCAAGACCAGTTGGTAGATTAAGTAGTCTGTTCAATAGATGTAGGTCTTTTCTTTCTCCCCTCCTTTGTCTCTCAGTTGATTTGATATATTGATTGTGGTCATTGTAGGTTGTTCAAATGGTATCGCTTATGGATCGCTTGCTTAAACTAGAGAATCTTGATCTGCACTTAACTCCATACAGGGTGCTAGCAACTGGACATGATGAAGGCATGATTGAATTTATACCATCTAGTTCTTTAGCACAGGTATGAGATGCTTCTGTTTACAGTGCAAGTGAGTCACAGCTTATAGTCACAGTTTGCATAGCTCTCATTGATAATTAAGTTGCAAAGCATCATTATTACCTTTATATTAACAGATTCAATGCTTAATTCGGTTGACATGCATTTAGTTCTTCATAACATGATTATTGTTATTTAGCTTCTCAAATATTTGAAATCTTGAGTTTCAAGTATCCTGGTCTTGTGGAATCGAACTTTCAATTTCAAGGATGACATGATTTGTTTTTTCTTTGCTTGACGTATTAAGTTGTTCATCCCTGAAGGCCTACTCATATCTATGCAAATTACTTTTTTGTGCAACTATGTCTTGTGCATTTCTAGTTCATTAGGAAAATGGCTTTGAGAGGAAAGTTACACTAATAGAATACTTTTAGGCATTCCGTTTCTGTTATAAATTTATATTATGAGGAATATTGATTACTTAGTATTAGTTGCATTAAAAATGAAAGGTTTATGGGTTCTAAATTTTTGGTGTGATGTAAATCTGTCAAGGATGAATGAGTGGCTTTGTAACTAATTCACCTAGATAATTGCATGTGCCACCAGATAGGTTAAATTGCAGTGTCTGATCACAGTGTTTGTGATTTCTTACAATGTCATCAAATGAGGATTAAACTGGGTGTAGTTTTAGCTGTGTTGTGGATTGTGGCAAATGCCATCTTGCAATGGGTTTAATAGAGGTTAATCCTTTTGATTTCCAGATTCTTTCAGAGCATCGAAGTATTATAAGCTATCTGCAGAAGTTTCACCCTGATGAGGAAGGACCATTTGGAATTACAGCCACCTGTCTCGAAACATTTATAAAAAGCTGTGCTGGTTATTCAGTTATCACATACATATTGGGAATTGGAGACAGGTGATTTGACATCTAGTTTAATGCATATGCCATTTGTTTCTTGTCTAAAAACTTCTATTTTAGTTATAAGTGGGGTAATTACAACAGAAACGAAATTTTAGGGTGGCTTATAACACCCCAACAAGTACTCTGTCGAGGCAGTTTAGCTTTTGGGACAGCTTCATAAAACGGTGTGTGTATTGATGCAGCAATA